AAAAAAATAGGAGAAAAGATTAAATATGAGGTAAGCTAGCCAGTAATATAAAGGAGGACTGTAAGAGTTTTTTTCGATATGTAAAGGGCAAAAGTGGACATTGGACCACTGGAAAGTGATGCCAGAGAGATGATAGTGGGGAACAAGGAAATGGCTGAGGAACTAAATTACTTTGCCTCAGTCTTCACAGTGGAAGACACAAGTAATATCCCAAAAATTCGAGAGAGTCAGGGGGCAGAGCTGATAATGGTGGCCATCACCAAGGAGAAGGTGCTAGAAAAACTGAATGGCCTGATGGTGGATAAATAACCAGGACCAGATGAACTACACGCCAGAGTTCTTAAGGAGATAGCTGAAGAGATAGTGGGGGAGTTAGTTGTGATCTTTCAGGAATCGCTAGAGTCTGGGTGGGTCCCAGAGGACTGGAAAATCGCTAATGTGACACCCCTGCTTAAAAAGGTAGTATGGCAAAACATTGAAAATTACAGGCCGATTAGCCTAACCTCAGTCGTGAGTAATATTTTAGAGTCTATTGTGAAGGATGAAATTTCTGAATACTTGAAAGTGCATGGTAAAATAGGACCAAGTCAGCAAAGCTTCATCAAGGGGAGGTCAGGCCTGACAAATCTGTTAGAGTTCTTTGAGGAAGTAATGAGCAAGTTAGACCAAGGAGAGTCAATGGATGTTGTCAAAGGCCTTCTGGAAGTCCAGGTAGTTAAGGTGCTGCACAGGAGGCTGCTGAGTAAGATAAGGGCCCATGGGGTTAGAGGCAAGGTATTCGCATGGATAGAAGATTGGCTGGGTGGCAGAAAGCAGAGAGTGGGGTTAAAAGGGTCTTTCTTAGGATGGCAGCAGTGGTGTTCCACAAGGGTCAGTGTTGGGACCACAACTTTTCACTTTGTACATTTATGATCTTGATGAAGGAACTGAGGGCATTGTGGCTAATATTGCAGACGATACAAAGACAGGTAGAGGGGCAGGTAGTACTGAGGATGCAGGGAGGCTGCAGAAGGAGAATGCGCAAAGAAGTGGCAGATGGAGTAAAACGTGGGCAAGTGTGAGGTCATTCACTTGGGTAAGAAGAACAGAAGCATGGACTGTTTTCTAAATGGGGAGAAAATTCAAAAGTCTGAAGTGCAAAGAGACTTGGGAGTTCTAGTCCAGGATTCTCTCAAGGTAAACTTGCAGGTTGAGTCAGTAGTTAGGAAGGGAAATGCAACTTTAGCATTTATTTTGAGGAGTTGAATATAAAAGCAGTGATGTACTTCTGAGTCTCTGTAAGGCTCTGGTCAGGCCACATTTGGAGTATTGTGTGCAGTTTTGGGCCCCATATCTGGGGAAAGATGTACTGGCCCTGGAACGAGTTCTGAGGAGGTACACTAGAATGGTCCCAAGAATGAAAAGCCTCATATTTTGAGGAATGTTTGAGGAGTTTGGGTCTATACTCAGTGGCGTTTACAAGGGGGGGGGGGGGGGGGTGGGGGGGTGCAGGGAATCTAATTGAAACTTACAGAATACTTAATGGCCTGGACAGAGTGGATGTTGGGAAGATGTTTCCATTGGTAGGAGAGATTAGGACCTGAGGGCACAGCCTTAGAGTAAAGGGTTGACCTTTTAGAACAGAGATAAGGAGAAACCTCTTCAGCCAGAGAGTGGTGAATCTATGGAGTTCACTGTCGCAAAAGGCTGTGGAGGCCAGGTCATATTTAAGACAGAGATAGATAGGTTCTTGATAGTCAAGGGGATCAAGAGTTACGGGGAGAAAACGAGAGAATGGGGTTGAGAAACTTACCAGCCATGATTGAATGGCAGAGCTGACTCATTGGGCTGAATGGCCTAATTTCTGCTCCTATGTTTTATGCTGCCAGACCTGCTGAGCTTATCCTGATTTACAACATCTGCAGTTCCTTCAATTTATATATTGATTCACATGCTTCAATGTCTCTTTTTCTTGTCCTCTCCTAACCCCCGCTGATAATTTGAAGGTGGGGCTTGTTTTTTAAACTTCATTGCTTCAGTATAAGTTAATATTCTGGTTTCTTCTAGTATTTGTACAGCTTTCTAATTGATCTCGCTGTGTCTTCTGTGGCTTGTGATACCAAAATGCTGTCATTGACGGACTGACAGACCTGGGAGGTGTGGCATGGTGCATCAGCCTTTTGGCAGAGTTCAGTTTTACCTTCTTATCGAAGTGCAACTGCATTTGTAGCTGTTTACTTTGTTATACAGATGGATTTGGCAATTAAGGTTAAGGATAATCCCAAGAGATGCTATAGTTATATTAAGAGTAAAAGGGTGGCTAGGGAGAGAATAGATACCCGTAAAGATTAGCATGGCCATCTGTGCAGAGCCACAGGAGATGGGGAGATTTCTAATATTTCTCCTCAGTGTTTACTGAGGAGAGAATCATGGAAGCTATGGAAATAAGGGAAACGAGTGGGGATGTTTTGGACCGCATACATATTTCCAGAGAGCAAGTGTTTGCAGCCTTAAATAGCAATAAGGTGGATAAATCCCCTGGTCTGGTCAAGTCCATCCTCAGATGTTGTGGGAGGCTAGGGAAGAAATTGCAGAGACTTTTGCTTCATCTTCAGCCACTGGTGAAGTTCCAGAAGACTGATGGTTGGCTAATGTTGTTCCATTGTTTAAGAAAGGTAGCAAAGACAAGCCATGGAGCTACAGGCCAGTGAGCCTGACATCAGTGGTAGGCATGTTACTGGAGAGGATGCTGAGAGACAGGATCAACCAACATTGGGATAATCAGCATGGATTTGTGCGCAGGAAGTCATGTCTGACAAATCTTTGAGTTTTTCAAAGAGGTAACCAAGAAGATACATGAGGTTAGGGCAGTTGGTAGTGTCTGTATGGATTTTAGTAAGGCCTTTGACAAGATCCCTCACAGCAGGCCAGTCATGAAGGTTAGGTCGGATGGGATCCAGAGAGAGCTAGCTAATTGGATTCAAAACTGGCTCGATGGTAGGAAGCAGAGGGTAATAGTCAAAGGTTGTTTCTCAGACTGGAGCTTGTGACTAGTGGTGTGCCACAGCGTTCGGTGCTGGGACCTTTGTTATTTGTTATTTACATAAATGACCTGGATATTAATGTACAAGGCATGATTAGTAAGTTTGGCAGATGATACAAAACTAGGAGATAATGTTGAAAGCGAGGAAGATTATTAAAAGTTAGAGGGATCTTAGTCAGACGGGAAAGTGGGCTGAGGATTGGCAAATGCAATTCAATACAGCTAAGTGTGAGGTATTGCACTTTAGAAAGTTAAACCAAGGTAGGAATTATACAGTAAATGGTAAGGTCCTGAGGAGTGTTGTGGAACAGAGGGACGTAGGAATAGAAGTACATTGTTCATTGAAAGTGGCATTACAGGTGGACAGGTTGGTGAAAAAGGCATTTAGCATGCTGGCCTTCATTGTTCGAGGCAATGAGTAAAGGAGTTGGGACATTATGTTACAGCTGTATGTCATTGGTGAGGCCGCACTTGGAGTATGGAGTACAGTTTTGGTCACCCTGTTATAGGAAGGACATAGTTAAACTGGAAAGTGTGCAAAGAAGATTTACGAGAAGGTTGCCAGGACTAGTAGCCCTGAGGTAAAGGGAGAGGTTGGCTAGGATAGGGATGACCTTACTGAGGTGTATAAAATCATGAGGGGCAGAGGCAGGATGAATGCATATAGTCTTTTTTTCCCCCAGGATAGGGAATTGAAAACTAGAGGGCATAGCTTTGAGGTGAGAGCGGATAGGTTGAAGAAGAACCTGAGGGGCAACCTCTTCACACAGAGAGTGGTGCATATATGGAATGGACTGCCAGAGAAAGTGGTTGAGGCAGATACAGTAGCAACATTTTAAAAAACATTTTGGATAGGTACACGGATGGGACGGGTTTAGAAGTATATGGACCAAATGCAGGCAGTTTGAATTAGCTGAGTGGGCCCATGGTCAGCATGGACCAGTTTGGACTGAAGAGCCTGTTTCCATGCTGTATTATACTGACTCTCTGACTCTATATTTGATTTATGTTGTGGCTTTGAACCTGTTAGAACGTTGTGCTTGCTCACTCTTTCATGGGATGTGAATGTCATTGACAAGGCCAAAATTTGTTGCTGACCCCCAAGTTGAGCTGAATTTTTTTGTAGTCTTTTCAGAGTCCATCACACATGCTGTGGGTCCAGAGTCATATGTAGGCAAAATCAAGTAAGGATGACGGATGTCCCTCTCCTAAAGGACATAAACGAACTGGTCATGTGGGTAGTTTCATAGTTATCCACTCTGAGAATGGCTTTCAATTCCAAACTTGTTTTGTACATGAATTCAGATTCAACCAACTGTCATGGGGGAATTTGAATCCACATGACCCAGAGCAGTAACGTTGGTGTCTGAATTACTTTTATAGTGACATTACAACTTTGCCATCGTGCCAAAATACAGCAGTTAAAGAGTGCTGTAAGTGAGAAACATTCACATTCCCAGCTTTCATGACACCAATCAAGTCCCGATGTCAGTTCAGTCAAATATGACGCAATCATGACATAGTTACACACATTGTATGATGCAAAATCAGAAAAGCAAATTTAACTCAAAGCTCCAAGCCCTAGAAAAAACAAAGCAAATGAAACTGTTAAATGGGACAGCTTTAAATGAAAACTATCTGAGCACACTGCTTTAGCAATCTTCATGGCTGACATTTTTTTTAATACAAAACTAACTTGTTTCATCCCTGCATTTAGAAGTAAGGACTTTGCATTTGGCTCTCAATTCCTAATAAACACTTGATGTCTACTCTGCAAATGGAGAATATGTTCTAATTTTGCCAGTATTAAAGTTTTCATCTCAATGTCAAAAGCATCTAAAAAGTTTGCATGTAATCATCATATCTATCGGTTTTCCTAGAGTTTTTTTAGCTGCCATCTCCATATTCCATGTTTAGGAATGCTTTATTTATCATGCTACCTCTCAGTAAAGTTTATAACATGTATTGCTTTCTCAAGATTATAGATCAGCTGGAGAGATGATGCATGATGACTGGAGAAAACATATAAAATCTGAAGATGACTTTATGGATTGGAGTGACGACATGCGAAACTCTGGAGATGATTACAGGAGAGGCGAACCATTGAGGTGATCAAAATGTTGGCGTGTATCACTTACTGAAACATTTAAGCATTTCTATTAAGCAAAAATTAAATACCTCCGCTGTTGTTTGTGTTCTTGGTGACAGCATTCAGGACCCTATTCTAAGCCCTTTTATTTTGCCATCCCTTCTCTTTCATCATCTTTAAAATTTAGATCACCCTCCCTTGCTGAGTATCAGCATTCTACATACGTATCAATGTAATGTTTTGAGGTTTGCTTAACATTAAAGATAGTTAATGAATATAAATTGTTGGATTGAACAATTTTCCAGTGGAAATTGTGCAGTATAGTGAAAAGTTGGTTCAAATTGAAAGCAGAAAATCTGGTTTCTTTTTAAAATCAAGTTTTTTCTTTTAACTTTGGGCTATTAGTTACATTTTTCTTTCTTACCTAGGAATTATTGTAATGATTATTCCAAAGGATCTGATGTTGATGATCGTTGGATGCAAAGTGATGTAAGTTGCTGAATGGTATATGCAGTTCCCTGAGTTTACTTTTGGTGTGGGTTTAAAATAGTTAATTCTTCTCAGTCCCAAGATTTTGCCATTGCTAGCTAGGCCACCTTTTTATTGATGTTGAGAAGGTGGTGATGAGTTTCTCCCTTAGGTCACTTGAAGACTCGGTGGGCAGGTAAACAATCAGGAACAAAAACAAAGTTGCTGGAAAAGCTCAGCAGGTCTGGCAGCATCTGTGGAAGAGAAAACAGAGGTAACGTTTCAGGTCCGGTGACCCTTCTTCAGAACAGTTCTGAGGAAGAGTCACCGGACCCGAAACGTTAACTTTGTTTTCTCTTCCACAGATGCTGCCAGACCTGCTGAGCTTTTCCAGCAACTTTGTTTTTGTTCTTAAAACATTACAAATTGTTTCCTAAATCTTGCCTCCTCAAATTCTTGAAGGTACATAATGATCTGGCTAGGAGGGTGAATAGCTGTTGGTGACTAACAATAGGTAGTGCATAATGGCAGACTGTGAGATAACAAGGCCTGGTGAGTGGGGTAGGCGGCTAAGACATGGGAGAGCTCAGGCCCAAAAATTATTGAATTGGATATTGAGTCCGGAGGGCTGCAGGGTCCCCAAGCAGAAAATGAGGTGGTATTCTTGCAACTTGTGCTGAGCTTTGCTGGAACGCTGCAGCAAGCCTCAGACAGATGTCGGCCAGGGAACAGGGTGGTGTGTTTAAAGTGGCAGGCAACTGGAAGCTCAGGGTCTTTGCAGGCAGAATGTAAATGTTCTGCAGAGCGTTTACCCAGTCTATTCTTCTTATCCCCATGTTAAGGAGACCACATTGTGAGCAGCGAATGCAGTAGATTAGGTTGTGGGAAGTGCAAGTAAAGTGCTGCTTCATCTGGAAGGTATGTTTGGACCCTTAGATACTGGGGACTGGGGACGGAGGACGTAAATAGGCAGGTGTTACACCTTCGGCAGTTGCAGGGGAAGATGCCTGGGGCTGTGTGGGGTTTGTTGGGAGCGAAGGAGGAATGGACCAGGGTTTCCCAGAGGGAATGGTCTGCGGTGGAAGTTGGACAAGGGAGGGGAATATGTCTGGTGGTAGCATCTTGCTGGAGTTGACAGAAATGGCACCTGATAATCTTCTGGATTTGGGTGCTGGCGGGACCCTGCAGCTTTCCGGTCTCAGTATCAAGTTCAATAATTTTAGGGTCTGAACCCTCCATGCCCTAGCCCTTTAGCCCAAACACCAGGCCTTGTTATCTCACAGTCTACCCTCATACACTACCTATTGATAGTCACCAACAGTCTCCATTAACAGCTACTCACCCTCCTTTTCAGATTGTTACCATCTCCTTTGTCTCTCCAACTTTTCTTCTGTCTCTTTGGGGCTGTATCTCCACCTATCATTCAGTCCTTACCAACAGCCCCCCGACATATTCCTGGCTACCATCAGTTCTGAGGAAGGGTCACCTGACCTGAAAAGTTAACTCTGATTTTTCTTCAGATGCTGCCAGACCTGTGGAGCTTTTCCAGCAACTTCTGTTTTTGTTCCTGTATTCTTAATTTTTGTGATTTATGCATGAGGGGTCCCAAATCCCACAGTGCTGCAGTTTGCTGCAGACTGTCTCCATTTATGTAATATTCTGTACCTTTATTCTTCCCACCAAAGTGCAAAACCTCCCATTGGCCAAATTTTTGCCTGCTCATGTAACTTGTCTATATCCCTCTGTAAGCTGTGTCAACCTCACCACTTGCCCTTCCACCCACTTTTGTCGTCCACAAACTTGGCAATAATATATTCACTTCAGTAACCCAGTCCTTGAATGTGTATTGTAAATAATCGTGGCCCCTGCACCAATCCTTGTGGCACTTTCTTAGTTGCAGGTTGACATCTTAAAGATGTCTCCATATCCCAATATTCTGTTATGTAGCCAATTCTCTATTCATGCAGATACACTGCTCCCAATACCATGGGCTCGTGTGTTATATCTTATCAAATGCCTTTTGAAAATACTAATGTGTAATGTTTGCTGGTTCTCATCTATCTATCCTGCTTGTTGCTGCCTAAAACAATTAGAATAAATTTTCCAGACATGATTTCACCATCATGAAATCATGTTGATTCCACTTGATTAAATTATGTATTTCTGAATGTGCTGCTCTTCTATATCCTTTAAAATAGATTCATTTTCCCAACGACAGATTAACATGACAGAACTGCACGATGATTATTCCCAACTTAGCCTTTGTACATTGAAGCCAATTATTCTTTTCCCAGACAAATAGCTTCATATTCACGAGTGAAAACTTTCTGATCCATACATCTCAACACCACGATATACAGAGAATATTGCATTCAGAATACCATTACATAATCCTGGTATTAGTTTGAGATATCTTCAAGAACAATCTTGTTCAATCTAGTTTAGATATCTCAGACAGCACTGACTATCTCTAGTTAACTGTCCAGCTTCGAATATTCTATCCTTCCTCTGAAAATGCTTCCCCCTGCATTTTGGAGCTCAGTTTTGTCTTCCAACAAAAATTTCCCTGTTCTTATTGCACACCTACCCACTTTGCTGACAAATTAACAATTTTTTGAATCTTGTATCTGCCAAATCTAAGAGGCCAGTTTGCTCTTATCACTCTGCACTGGAGGTTTTCACGTTGGCCTTCAGATGGACCAGAAGAGAGCAGCGTAGGATGATGAATATAAATCAGGGTAATCAGTCAGCACATGCTGGCATTGAACTGGAAGTCTTCTGAGACTGATAGCAAAAGTGAAATATATAATATTTCCAAGGATCTTAATGTTGTGGCTGCCTTCATCTTCAGCTCAGGGTGGCAGCCCTCCAGGATTGTCCTAGAGTTTGCAAGAAATGAAGATCAATTTCCAGGATGCTGTTGTAAGGAATCCATAATCAAAATCATTAAAACGTTAGCGCTTTGACTTTTTTATCAATAGAAATATTAGAAATGCTGGCAGAAGTCTACTTGACTGTTGGGAGATCTTGTGATGAAAGATCCAGGAATACATTCAACTAGAATGAACAACTCTATGCCCAACAATGTATTTTCTCATACATGTTTCTCCAAAGAAAATTGTTTCACTTCCTTAATCTGTGAATTCACTCAAATCCTCTGTCGATTTGTCAACATTGGTTCTTAGCCAGCCTTGAGGGGGAAGAAATCCAGAATAATTCTGCCATTCCTGTGGAAGAGCAAGAGCACTCACTGCTCAAATTTGCAGACTCACCACTTGTGGCAATGTTAATGAGTGGATTCAGAAGTAAAAATCACATCATTAATTTTATCAGTCGTCTTTGTGACTGAAGTTTATTTCAAGTGTACATCGTGTATTTGGTGCAGTTAGTTTCTTACATCTGCGTTTTTCCACTTCTGTTGAGTTTTAGTTTGAACCGTACAGATCACCTGATTCCAAACCTGCCTATACAAATGAGGAGTTTTTTGAATATTTGGTGAGTACAAAGTTTTTACTACTGTATAGTGAATTTATGGAGAAACTGTTAAACACAGCAATCAAAACACCAAAATATATTAATTGGAAAAGAACACCAGTTGTTAAAATTGTTTCTGCAATTAGTGTTGCAGAAGGTTTTTATGCTCAAAAACAAGTAAAACTTTGCATAGGAAACTGACATTGATATGTGAATATCATGTATTTATTTATTTATGAATGTGTGTACATGGAATTTTATTTTATACATATGGATTCTGATTAGAATCTTTGACCAAACAGTGAGGCATGGATAGGGCCAGGAGTTTGAAAATATGGTCAGTACAACTTGTATGGACTTCCAAATAGGATTTAAGCAACAGTTTTCAAGTACTATCTTGGAACATTTTGCAGTGCATAGATGAAGTAATGGTATGGTTGAGCCTGGGGAGCAGAAGGTGATGTGGGTGGAAAACTGAGCACTAAATGGCTGTTTCTTAGTCTGGTAACAGGTGACTCGGGTTCTGTGCTGAGACCATATGTGTGCGTGGTGTGCCGTTGTGAATATGTGCATATGTATGGTAATAATTGTCCCAAGGCATTAGTGATAGTATGTGACAGAATATGCTACCTAATATTTTGGTAATTCCTGTTCCTTTTGTTTTCCCTTTTAGTTCTGCTGCCTGCTCATCTTTGACAAAGAAATATTATTAAGGGTGAGCAAGCAGTTGAAACAGTTTAGGCAGAATGCAAAAACAGATGCAAGACTTTCTTAGGAGTTGTCTGCAGGCCACCCAACTGTAATGAGTTAGCAGCAGAATGCATAACTATGGAGATAATTTAAAGCATGCAAGAACAATCAAGCAGTCATGGGAGCAATGTTTAATTCTCTCATACTGGAAGAAGTAGAAGAATGCAAGTCATCAAGACAATTCATTTCTAGAGTGTATTCAGGACAATTTTCTGGCAGAAATGTTTGACCCAAAAAATGAGCAGTACCAAAACAAAAAAAGAGCAGATGATGGAAATCTGAAATAAAAACTGTGCTAGAAATACTCAGCAAGTCAGGCAATATCTGTGGAGAAAAAGTGATAACAGCATTTCTGATTGATAATAACCTTACAATCAAAATAGACTATTCTAGATTACGTGTACAGCAAAATGCTGAAATTAATTGCAAGTCTCATGGTAAGGGAATGTGGGAGCAGGAAATTGTGGATGCACCATGTGCCCCAGATGAACAGGTCTGCAGGAAGTGTCACCATCTGTACACGTCTAAGCTCTTGATTTCAGAGTTCAGGCATCAACTGGAGGTGGTGTGCATGCATTGAAAGGCAGAGGGTGTTGTAGATTGCACTTTTAGGAAAGTGATCTGACTGCAGCTCAGGGGTGTGCAAGACAGTTAACGAACGGATGACTGCTGAGCATTTCAAGTGAGCCAAGCAATTCGTATAGTCCCCTGAAACTATTTTGCTTGCAATCTTCTTTCCTCTTTGAATACTGGGGAGGGCATTGGCTCCTCAGAACAGCATAGTCATGGACAGGTCACTGGCACCATAGACAGCTCAGCTTGATAGGAGAGGTTGAAGAAGAGTGGAAGTCATGGTAGGGCATTATTCTAGTTGGAGGAGCAGTTGGGTATGTCTGTGGCCATAGATGTGATTCCAGGATGGTATGTTGCCTCCCTGGTGCCAGGGTCAAAGATGTCACAGAATAGCTGCCAGACAACCTTCTGGTGAAGGGTGAACAGTTCAGTTTCTGGTTAATAATTTTGGTTTACCCCAGAATATTGACGGTGATGCTATTGAATGTTGAGGGGCAATGATTAGATTCTCTCTTGTTGCCTTTCACTTGTGTGGCATAAATGTTAGTTGCAATGTGTCAGGCTGGATCTTGACCAGGTCTTGCTATATTTGAACTTGACTCCTTAGGTACTGAATCAGTTCGCTTATGCTGCTGAATATTGTGCAATCATCAGCGAACATCCCCACTTCTGATATCATGATGAGGGAAGGTTAATGATGAAGCAGCTGACATGTTTGAGCTGCGAACATTTATTTAGTCTCTCCTTAAAACAATGTAGACAGCTCCGACCAGAATGTTATGATCTAATTTGCCCAGGTGTCCCACAATACCAAAGCAGTCAAATCAATGCGAACATGTCGGTACCAAAGCAAAACAGCCCCCCCTTATTAGGATCAAAATTACAATAATTTTCAATACTAAACACACTATCCCTAATCCTATTTGGCCCCTTAAGATTATAATACTTAGAGTCATAGATTAAAACAGAATGGAAACAGGCCCTTTGGCCCAAACTGGTCCATGCTGACCATGGTGCCCACTCAGCTAGTTCCAATCCATAATCCCTCTAAACTCTTCTCATCCATATAAACTATCCAAATGTTGTTTTTTCAATATTGCTATTGTACCTGCCTCGACCACTTTTATCTGGCAACCTATTCCATATACACACCATTCTGCGTGAAGAGATTGCCCCTCGGGTCCTCCTCAAATCTATCCCTTCTAGTTTTTAATTCCCCATCCCTAGGAAAAAGACTATATGCATTCATCCTGTCTCCGCCCTTCATTATTTTACACCCCTCAATAAGGTCACCCCTGTCCTGGCCAACCTCTCCCTTTACCTCAGGGCTGCTAGTCCTGGAAACCTTCTCATAAATTTTCTTTGCACACTTTCCAGTTTAACTATGTCCTTCCTATAACCGGGTGACCAAAACTGTACTCCATGCTCCAAGTGCGGCCTCACCAATGACTTATACAGCTGTAACATAACTTCCCAACTCCTTTACTCATTGCCTCGAACAATGAAGGCCAGCATGCTAAATGCCTTTTTCACCACCCTGTTCACCTGTAATGCCACTTTCAATGAACAATGTACTTCTACTCCTAGGTTCCTCTGCTCCTATGCTGCTGCTTGGCCTGCTGTGTTCATCCAGCCCTGCACCTTGTTGTCTTGGATTCTCCAGCATCTGCAGTTCCTACTATCTCTCACTCCTCAGGACCTTACCATTTACTGTATAACTCCTACCTTGGTTTAACTTTCTAAAGTGCAATACCTCACATTTAGCTGTATTGAATTGCATTTGCCAATCCTGAGCCCACTTCCCTGTCTGATAAAGATAACCTCCCTTGCTATCAGTGATACCTCCTAGTTTTGTATCATCTGCAAACTTACTAATCATGCCTTGTACATTAATATCCAGATCATTTATGTAAATAACAAAGGTCCCAGCACCGACCCCTGTGGCACACAACTAGTCACAGGCTCCAGTCTGAGAAACAATCTTCAACCATCACCCTCTGTTTCCCACTATCGAGCCAGTTTTGAATCCAATTACCTAGCTCTCCTTGGATCCCATGTGACCTAACTTTCATGACTAGCCTACCATGTGGGACCTCTTCAAAGGCTTTACTAAAGTCCATATGGACAACATGCACTGCCCTACCCTCATCTATCCTCTTGGTTATCTCTTCAAAAAACTCTAAAAGATTTGTCAGACATGATGTCTTGCGCACAAATCGATGCTGACTATCCCTAATCAGATCTTGACAATACAAATGTTGGTTGATCATGACCCTCCGTATCCTCTCCATAACAACATGCCTACCACTGATGTCAGGCTCACTGGCCTATAGTTCCCTCGCTTGTCTTTGCTACCTTTCTTAAACAATGGAACAACAATAGCCAAATTCCAGTCTTCTGGAACTTCACTAGTGGCTAAAGAGGAAGCAAAAATCTCTGCAAGGGCCTCTGCAATTTCTTCCCTAGCCTCCCACAACATCTGAGGATGGACTTGATCAGGCCCAGGAGATTTATCCACCTTAATGTGCTTTAAGGCTGCAAACACTTCCTCTCTGGTAATGTGTATGTGGTCCAAAACATCCCCATTTGTTTCCCTTATTCCTTAGCATCCATGATTCTCTCCTCAAACACTGTGGGGAAATATTCATTAGAAATCTCCCCCCATGTCCTGTGGCTCCACGTATAGATGACCATGCTGATCTTTAAGGGTATCTATTCTCTCCCTAGCCACCCTTTTACTCTTAATATAGCTATAGAACCTCTTGGGATATTCTTTAACCTTACCTGCCAGATCCTTCTCATACCCACTTTTTGCTCTTCTGATTTCCTTCTTGAGTGTGCTCCTACACTTTTTATTATCATCTAGGGATTCACTGGAGCCCGATAACTTAACTTGAATCCAATGTATGCTTTTTTCCTGACCAGTGCCTCAATATCCGTCGTCATCCGGGGATCCCTAAACCTGTCAGCTTTTCCCTTCACCCTAACACAAATCTCCCCGCGAAGATATTGAACCCCCTCCGGTTCAAATGCAACCTGTTCCTCTTTGTACAGGTCACCTGTACCCCAGAAGAAATCTCAATGGTCCAAGAACTGAAAACCCTGCCCCCACACCAGCTCCTCAGCCACACATTTATCTGGCCTATCTTTCTATTTCTATCCTCACTGGTGCATGTAACTGGGAGTAATGTGGAGGCCACTACCCTTGAGGTCCTGCTTGGAGGAAAGGAGAAGTCAACATTTGCCTGGCTTGCTGTGTTCTTCCAGCCTCCTGTTTGTCTACCTTGGATTCCAGTGTCTACGGTTTTTTTTTTTGTCTCTTACCTGGCGCTGATTTGTCTGGGCCCTCCTTTGTTTAGTGGATAAGTTGTTGGGGGAATAACTGTTGCCTTTTACATTAGCATAATGTCATTAGCAAATGACTGCTGTGTTTGCAATGTGTCTGGTGTGTGGGTTTTGTGATTTCAGAATTTTGCTTGGCCAACGTACCCAGCATCGCTTGCTGTTTGGCCAAGTTAGCAATCTCTGTTTTAGCATCAGGAGGCTGTTACAACACTATCCTGAGGATCTGTTGCAAAGATTTACTAGAGCTGAGAGGACTGTTCTCCAACAACCACAACCATTTTCCTTTGTGCTAGTTATGACTCCACCTAGTAAAGAACTCCCTGTGCCCATGACTCCTATTGACTTCAGTTTTG